TCAGAATTGGATACTTTGATAGGTTTGACAACTCTCCATTAATCTTTTGTGAGACTTTCTTGCAAAAACTGCATCTCAAATCATGGTATAGGGAAATGTCTCCCTCCAATGGGAGGGAAGTATTTTTTTATTGGAGGGACAACGGGGAGGCAGTGGGTTTTCTGCTATCAGTTATCTGATTCTATGGAGGGGAGGGGAGAGAAGGAAATGGAAAAAGACCTTCAGCAGGCAACTTGCAGCAATAAAGTTACACTCCTATAGATTAGGCATTAAGGCACCCACTCCATTTTTGGAAGACTGATGTGTCAAAAGGCTGCCCTATATTAAATTAAAGATGGCTCCAGGGTTGTGATGTACAGTATATTGTGTAGTAGGGAAGGCCATCTTTACTGCAAGGGGTGGGGTGGCTGTTTTAGAGTCACTTCCAAATGCTTTTTCCTTCTAATCCAGACCTTCACAGTAAACCCAACCTCTTCTAGCTCCTTAGGGACATGCTAAGCTGCAAGGGAATGGTTGGCTTTACCACAAGGACTGATGGATCTTCAGCCTCTGCTCTGGTGCAGTCAAGCATAAGGATGTTGGATTCAAGCTGTAAAAATAGGTGACATAAACAAAACATATGGTTTTTTGGCACAGAGCTTTTGATTGAAAACGTTAGTTTATTACGGCTAAAAAAAAACAGACCCATAGACTTTATTGAGGTTACTGAAAGAAAAAGAATGAAACAACAGCCATGGCTTCTATTCATTTCAACAGTCTACTTCTTTGGATATTTTTGTGGTGACGTATCCACTTGTCTATTTCCCTTCACTGTTTACTCTGGAAGGACAGTGTGTTATTTTAAAAGAAATGAAGAAGAAAATCAGACAGCAAAGGAAACCAGTAAGTGCTCTGTGGCCTGAAAGCCCAGGCCTAACACAATCCCCAGTGTTAAAATGTAAGCATTGTATATCACAGGGGTCCCCAAACTTGGCAACTTTAAAACTTGTGGACTTTAACTTCCAGCTATGCTGGCTGGAGAATACTGGAAGTTGAAGTCCACAAGTCTTAAAGTTGCCAAGTTTGGAGACCTCTGGTATACCACATCATTTTAAGTAATTGTTAACATAAATGTTGATTGACTGTGGGTTTACTTTTAATTATTTATGTTGACAAAATTATTCTTTGACAGCCGGTAAAATTTTGTTACGAATTCTGGCACCGTGTACCGTTTGATGCAATCAGGAAAAAGCAGAGGAGGTAACTGGCATATATTTAGCAAAAATGTAGTGTCTTTAATAATATTTTCTAATGGAAGGACAAGTGCTAATCCAACACACATAATAAAGAATAATAATCAGCAAGTTAAATTCAGGTTTATTCAGAATGTACTACTTTCTCTCTGCATTTTCATCCACATGATTTAAATTACCTTTGCTAGAATCCCATGGGAGTGACCTTAAAGCACAAATACACTACACAAGAGACTCTCTAGACAAGGAAGATATGCATATCTCTTCCTTTCAGATATGGCTAGAAGCATGTGGAATTCAAGGCAAACTCACACTTCTCCTTTCACAAAAAAGATCAACCATTATTATACCAAATTTTGTTGACACCAATGTTGTGGCAGTCCTGGTTATCCAGCAAACAGCAAGCTGGGGTTAGCGATATTAAGATTAAACTAGTGAGTGAGGCCAAGGGCCTTGCAATTTGGGGATTTCCCAACTTTAATTCAATAAACATTTTTCAGGAGGAAAAGAGGTCCCCTCCAACTGTCCATTCAAATGCTGCACAAAGGCTTGTCAAGGCTAGCTGAGCAAGTTATATTGGTTTATTCAAACAAAAAACTAAGTCATGGCTTACAAATGACAAAGGACAGTAGCATCTGGAGCAAAGTGCAGCAGTGTCAAAATCATAACATGTACTGTATGGCATCATGCAGATGTCATACTTATGTGCTTGCATCCAGTGGTTGACATACATGCAAGACATGGCAATTGCATGATGATACGATTGCACAACATGTTTCATGTTTTAACTTGCTTGCCTTACCTAAAGCAGTTCTGTAATAACAGATTGCTTCATGGTAAAACAATTGCAAACCACCTCTGTTTTGATTCTCCCCATTCAATTCTCATTTGTTACCTCTTGCCATGGGGTGACTTGACTTCCAAGAAAGCCTTTAGGAACCCTTCTCCTAGAAGAAAGCCATTTTCTCCTTGAGGAAGACAGGCAGTCCTCGACTTATGACCACATTTGAGCCCAAAATTTATGTTGCTAAGTGAGACATTTGTTAAGTGAATTTTGCTCCATTTAATGACCTTTCTTGCTACAGTTAAGTGCCTCATTGCAGTTGTTAAGTTAGTAACATGGTTGTTAAGTGAATCCAGCTTTCCCATTGACTCGCTTGTCAGAAAGTTGCAAAAGATGGGATACTGCAACTGTTGTAAATAGGAACCATTTGCCAAGCATCCAAAATTTGATCACATGATGATGGCTATGCTGCAGCAATTGTAAGTGTGAACAATGGTCTCAAATCACTTTTTTCAGTTCCATTGTAACTTTGAAGAGTCACTAAAACAGTCACTAAAAGTGACACAGATTGTCACTTAAAACAGTCATTGTTGTAAGTCAAAGACTACTTGCCACCACCCCTACCCCCAATTCCTTTGGATATAACATGCAGAGCCACAGACTAAACCAATACATCACAACATCCTAGGTTCTTGGGAATAACTCAATGTGTATGTAGGCCAACTCCAACTAGAGAACTGGCAGCTGTGGTTGTGAACAGATAATAACAATTTATTTTATTTTAGTAAATTTATTTGCTGCCCATCTTACCCCAGGGTAACTCTGGGCAGCTTACAGTGTTAAAAAGGATAAACCTATACAAAGTATATAATACAAATAAAATACTATAAAAGTACAAATTATCAAATCTAGCTAAAAATGGGACAGGAAGGAGTAGGATGAGCAGAGTGGAGGTGGGATCTCTTATTAATCTATCAATCACCTCCAATGTGATGCTCCCCCTTTGAAGCCCCAGGCCAATTGGCAGAATCAGGATTTGAGGCTCTTATGGAAGATCAGGAGGGTGGGAATTGACCTCACTCCTGGGGACAAGATATTCCAAAGGGCAGGAGCAATGGCGGAGATGGCAGAGAATAATAACACGCTTAAGCAAAAAGACTGTATATTTATGTATTTTAGTTCAAGTGCTAGAACTGAAGGGATGTCAGTTACAGATCAAAGATCAAGTCATGAGACACACATTCATAAGAATTCTATTCTCCAACATCTCTATTACATGTTCTCTAGGGGTTTCCATCAGAGGCAGCTGCCTCACTTTGCCTTATGGTTGGACTGACCAGTCTTGAATGGGATTATCCAATGCATTCTACCATTCAGTATGAATTGCTGGCATAAACGTTCCTCTGAGATGATTGTATAGTGGCCTCTTCTCAAGTACATTGGACTGTTTCTTTTGTTGATGAGACTTTCTAAAATTATATCCCAAGTTATACAGTTTTGGCCTGATCCCATTTTAAACAGTGCTTATCTTGTGGCATTCTGAATTGCTATCAGATAACCTTGTGCTCATATACAAACATAACCACTATCAGGCATAAGCAGGCAATCAGGCTAAAAAAGAGAAATAAACACAATGTGAAGGGAATATTAATGTTCTCAAGACAATAGTCATTTAGCAACATTAACTTGGTGCTCTAAGCAAAAGAATATGAACTTTTACCCTACTGGCACTTTTATGAAAGCTGCAACCAGAGACACCATTCTAGCCCAATGTGTTTATTCAGTCAGTGATAATTTTTACATTTTGAAATAATCTTTGATATTTCATTATGTTTTTCTTTATGCTTTTGGACAGTGTTCATTGGCAACCATTGAACCTTTATGTAATCAAGAATTATCACAACTTTCCTAATTTAAAAAAAAAAATCAGTGGGACTTTACAAATCAATCTGCATCTTATACCCTACCACAATATGTTAACCGATGGTTCTCAATTTCTTCTTCACCATGGCCCCCCTGTAAGTAAGATGCAGGCAGGAACGACATATACTTTGTTGTAGCTTGTCAATTAAGTTACAATTAAGTAGCTGGCATTGTGTACAGGAATACCTGCACACCAGGTGTGTGATTCCACAGAAGGTAGAAAATAATAAAGCTAAGTGAGACTTCCAGAAGAAAAGCTGTAGAAGTACCAAGGCCAGTGGCAGATTAAGGATCACCGGTGCCCTGAGTACTGACAAATCTTGGCGCCGCCCTCCTTTGTACATACTGTACAAATGAAGCCATATTCTTAACTTTGTGGTGCCCCCTTTGGGCCTGGTGCCCTAAGCACGTGCTTAGTCTGCTTAATGGTTAATACACCACTGACTGGAGCTTTAAAGGAGGAACTAGAGAGGATGTGGAAAGTAAGGCTAAAGTAGCCCCACTGATCAATATTGATTTCACCAATTTGATTTCAATATACTGCACAGCTACCCAGAACTTGTATTTACAAACCAGGTAAAGCAGAATTCATGTTTACTTATTCACTTTCTTTTCAAACACTCAGTTTACTTACAAGCAATATTAATCATTTCAACATTCCCTAGCTTTTTAACATTGGGAGTTTACATTTCCTAATTTTGCAAAAGGAGAATATAAGAAGATAATATAAATTAGCATACAAATTATATTAATATTCAAACAAACTGAATAAATAAACAAATGATTTAATTTTGCCATTGCATACAGCTTTTCTCAAATATTTTATTCTGAACCTGTAGAAGAATCAGAGTATTGGGAGGAAAGAACTGACTGACCTCTCAAAGATGATAGGGTTTTTTTTTTCTTCTTCTTCTTATTTTTCCAAAAAAAAAAAAAGAGGGGTAAAAAAGAAAAGATTTCCATTTATGGACTATAGAAATCCTGCATTCCAATTGGCTAAGCCAGCCCAGTGGCAAGTTTTTTGTAGTGATAAGGCTTGAAACAGGAAGCCATGAGAGGTCAGGAAGGAAGTACTTTCAGGCCAGAAAGAACGATTGCAAAGTGAAGGGAGCAGGACAGGTTCTTGTACTCAGGCTGCAGAACAACTGAATCTATTTTTTTTAAAGATAAGCAAAGTTACCAGTCAAAAATCTGCACAGCTGTCCCCACTGAAAATGTATCTCCTCTCTAGTTTTGTTGTTTTGCCTGTGTGGGCTTTGCCAAGAGTGCAGCAAAAACATCATTTCTCCACTGCTGGCCCTAGGAAGCAAAGCTTCTTGTTTATAGCAATTCAAGTTGACCTTGACCATATTGAAGGAAATGGATTTTATACAAAAATGCTTCCATTATGCCATAGCTAAAAATGAGCAGCTTTCGATGGCACATTTCCCAAAGCCACCTGCATGTTCGTGTCCTCATCCCCTGCTTTAACCTCAGTACAAAGCAGATCACTGAACAAAACAGAAAGTCTCCCCTCCCCATTTCTTTGTTAAACATTTAACATTTTGTCCCCTCCCCACAGTTGCTTAATTACTATGCCTAAAATTCTATTTAATCTGAAGACTCTGTTCACATCTTTATCACAGATGGCACTTTCCAAAAGTATGATGGAGTCATGACATTTGAGGTATACTTTTTTTTTTTTTTTTTGCATTAAAGAATAAGAAAACTTATAATGGAAGAGCAGGAATATATTTGGGTTCTTCAGATTTCTCTAGAGATGGAATACCACTTGCCAATGGACCCAAATGATTACATCCTGTCCATCTCTACCACAGCTACTCCGAAAGATGGGTTTGATGTTTAAGAGTCGATCTGGGGAATGCACAGGGTTAGGGAAAAGTGGAGTGAGTGAAGTTCCTTTTCATGAACAAGGGTGAAGCTACAATCAGACACTCAACATGGTCCCATGACGTGAAGTCATTGAGGTAACTGGATGCTCAGTTTTCCATTCCCATGTGTGCATTTAGTTAAGCACTGCTTCATGTGGAATGGATTTTTTTGTGCATAATTAGTCTCCCATTCTTCATTCCCTATGACTGATCCTTTTCAATTCAGTTTTAATATACTATAGCTAAGCAATCTTTCTATAAGAGCAGTATAATAATTCGATTTTACAAGTTCATTGAATGTCCATTTATAATGAATTAGAATTGGAAAGGCAGTGGTTGTATCCAAAAAAACAAATCCTGACAATTCTACGAAGCTAAACAATTATTCATCCACATTCATGATCCCTGATAATACATAAGCAAGTACAGCCAATCCTTTATATATTTATTTGATTTATTTTAAGGCATATGATTAATGTTCTGGTAGATCAAGAGCCTGTCCTGTCACTAACAAGGAAGCTGCCAATCAGCAGAATCAGGAGCAGAATGAAAACCACTTCCCAGAGGAATAATCAATAAGAAAAGGGCAGTAGAGAAGTGTATATTTCTGGAAATATGCCCAACAGCTGTGAATATCCCAGAAAATATCCACCATCTGATGACTAATATAAGAAACATCAACCATGTGCGTCAAAGAAGGAAAACTTTTCATCAACAAGTCAACATGTTCATCTCTGATATGAGTGGACCTGCAGGGTCTCAGCACAATTTCCTTAAAATGATGACTATATCCATCAAATAATATATGAAAGTCATGGCAGTGTTGGAAGAAAAATCCTTCTGGGTTCAGTTCCAAGTGGGGAAAAAGACACTGGAAACATGGAGGCTGTTAGGAAAGATGGTTTAATGGTGGACAGCAGGACCACATGGCTTGAAAGCTCCAAAGTGAAAGGGATGGATGATCACATGCTTCAAGGTGAAAAGAGAAGGTCAAGAAGGTCTGATATGCTGAGAGTGCCTGGGTTTTATAACCTTTGTTGGGATTTGAATTGAAGCTTGTTTCTAATTGGTTGTCAGACTCCCATGGGGCCATGCAGGGGCAACTCTGTAGGCTGTCCTGAGTTCCAGGCTTGGTTGAGCCTTGCTGTATGATGATGCACTGAAAGGGCTTTGGGCAATTGCTATAGTTTTACCTGGAGATCTTTGTTATGTAAAGTATTCTGGCCCAGGCCTTAATGGCCCATCCATTAACAAATGTGGGGGAGAGTTTCTGCTTCTGAGGTTTTTCTGCTCTTGAGTTTCTACTCTTTTTAGGGGAAATATTCTGCCTTTCTAAATATTTCCTAGGATATTTCAATTTTCTTGGAGAGGTGTGGGTGCTAACTTCCTACAGCAGAACTATAAAATAACAGGCTTATTCAAGTGTTATGCTTTAAAGCTAGAGCAGATCTTCTGAAGCATACTCCAGCATTCCTGAAAATGAAAAGTGCACTTAAACATTTAAATGTTTCCCAGACTCTCTAATACAGGGGTGTCAAACTCAAGGCCTGCAGGCCAGATGTGGTCCGTGGGGTGCTTAGATCTGGTGGGGCCACCCTGGAAACAGTGGAGAACTGGCCCACAGGTGGCCCTTCCTAACTCCTTTTTCACTGGTAGAGGGTTGCAGGAAACTGTCGCAGTCTAAAATGGAGCTCAGGACGGCCACAGGTGGCCCTCCTGAGCTCTGTTTTCACTGGCAGAAGCCATTGCAGATGAAAACGGAGCTCTGGACATACATATGGAAAACTGGAGAATCTGCAGAATTGTATAATTCTAATTGCCATTTCTTTGTTAGTCTCAGATTTATTTTTTAACTTTTTAACAAAAATGTGAGGGTGAAATGGGAATCCCTTTATCATATTCCCTTGTTAATTGTATATTGCAATCTTAATGGCAAAATATCAATGCCAGGAATGAATAAATGGGTGTTTGTGTATAAAATTGCTATTTGGTGTTTTAGTAGATGAAGGTACAGGAAAAAATCCTACACCAATATTCTGGTTTGGAAAATAGCTTCAGTTGAGTAATATTGTTATTACTGCCAGATACTGGGTGTCACTTATTGCTTCCTTCTGTTTGAAAGAAACTTTTCCGTAATGTATACATGTATACAAGAAGACCATTCTGTATTCATTTAAAAATAAGGCAGGAAAAGAACACATTTTAATCGGCTGCATATTATTACTGCTGAAAGCAAGGAAATCCCTGAAAGCTAAATTACTTATTGTTTAAAACTGCTAAATATATGTCTTGCATTTGAGATAATTCCTTTGTTTTACTTACATGTGAAGCTGTGTCTTATTTGGTCAAGATTAGTAAACTGTGCACTGCTCTTTAAGTACATGGCAGGAATTTCTCAAACTAAGAGAAGCTCACTGCTGCAGAGAAATGATCACTCTGTATAGACATTTGCTGGGATCCATTCTCTGCACAGCGTAATTAAGCTTCAAAGTTCAGCAATGCAACCATATGCTGAACTTGCACGCTTGTCACCTGTATACAGGTATGCACAAGAAGTTTTGTATATACATGTAGACAAAAGACAATGTCCTTAATTGAGACTGTTTCACATGCTAACTAAAAGAACCACATAATGAGCATATTATTGTTACAGAGGCAGGTAAATATCAGATGCCTATTATTGAGATATTGTTTCAGTCAGTCTGTATGGTGAAATTAACATGAAACCAGCCAGTTATTCTAGTGCAGAATCCAAAGTGTGCTCTGAGCTGCATTTGATCAGCCATCCATATTTACTTCACTGAAGGAGGAAATTGTGCAGATGCATCGTTCTGTAAATATTCAAAGCTTCTCCTTCAACTGTAATGAATAGTAAAGCTCTTATAAATAAAAGAACTTTGTGTGCAAGAAATTACTGGGCTGAAGTATTTATCTAACTAGAGATGATATGAAAAGTTGGTTCCACAGAATGACAAGGACATAACCCTCCATGTTCATCAATATCTCCAGACTTCTGACCTTGTTCTGCATTAAGTGCTTTGGGGGGGGGGGCATAATGGAAAGATTGGATGCTCAGTATCTCCTTTGAAGCTATCCTGATGTCAATGTTTTGATTTCAGGAAGCCTGACCATGAAAGTTGCCAAAACGAATATTCTAGTATCACCCAAGCAACATCACAGCCTTAAAAACAAAACTCACCAAAGAGACTTAGGAAAATGTGATCTAGCCTATATCCCTTAGGGTGGTCTCCTGAGATATCTAGGATTTCATTATATTTTGCTGGAGCTTAGCAAAAAAAAGAGCAAACTCTGCTCAAGAAACCTATACTCACCTAATCTGTTTTGTTCTGCAAAGATCATCACATCCTGTTTACATGTTTGTTAAAAATAAACTTAAAAGCCAGGGCCTTATTTTCATTTCTTTATTATCTGCCTATTGCAGTGTTGGCAAACCTTTTCGTGCCAAAACAGGAGTGCGCACGCATGCAGGGGAAGGGAGTGCCAGAAACCGGAAGAGCTGCTCTGCAGCTCTTCCGGTTTCTGGAAGACCAGCTGGCCAGCGCATATGCACGTGCCGGAAACTGGAAGCTCAGCTTCCCCACATGCATGAAGACCAGCTGGCCGGTGCACATGTGCATGCTGGAACCTGGAAGAGCAATGGTGACAGGTGGAATGCCCAGAGAAATGTGCCACTTCCGGCATGCATGGCATTGATTTGCTATCATGGGCCTATTGTATTTAATTGCTGGAAACTATCTGAACCTGCAAAAAAGACATCTCAAATTACAGGAAGTTTAAGAATGACTAGGTTTTCCCATAGACTTAGAAACTGGGAGATGTAGTAATACAACTAGGAAGTAACACACAACTTTCATGTACAGGAATTGGAAGGCAATTAAAAGAAAATGGATAATAGAAAACCTCTGGCTACTTATTGGTTCATCTCTCACTTTCCCGTTTTCAAATGATAGCTATTGATGAAACATTTTTGTGATTAAAGGTCCTGGCCTCTTCTGGTCAATAATAGAAGATCCCATAGAAACTTTAGAAGTATGTTATTGTTTAATTTTAATTTTGCTATGTTAGCTGAGTTTTCCATCTCATGAAGTTGCATTTTGTCTCTCTAAAGTTACCCTTGCATTAAAATTTAGGTAAATTATTTCATGGTAGACAATCAAGAGCAGTTATACAGCAACTAATATGAACCATTCCATAAGTGGTAGCATTCTAGTAAAAACTGATGTTATCTCAAAATGAAAATGTAACATATGAGAAAGACAGAAAAGAACAATATACAAAAATGGCATTGCATGAAATGCACTATTACATGCATTTAACTCCTATGAAATGCACTCTAGATAAACTGCGTATTCTGAAATATACTTTCACAAATGTAATATGTTCATATCTATAGTTTCTTCCTGACTTTTTTCTTTATATAAATACTGTAACATTATGAGACAGATGTATTTATTGAGATCAAGATCCTTAATAAATAGATTCAATGCACTGCAGCTAATAAAAATTAATACTCTCCATAAGCATTTTTATTAAAGTGAAGGCAGGGGACAGGAGGGATATTCTAAACAATATCTATGCATCATCATTTATAAAGTTATTTACAATAATACTCTATGGAGAGCAGGTAAATGAAATGTAAAAAGAGAAACTAATTAAATTAAGGTAAGGCTGTCTATGGATTAAGGTACAAACCTTCTCACACCTTTTTGTACCTCACATTTTAATCCATGGGAAGATTTAGTAGCTTCTTATCTGCAAATCTGCTTTTGAACTATCACAATGCCTTACAAGTTCTGTACTAGTAAATCAAATTTTCAACTTTCTGATCCATTTCTTACATTGTTTATTTACTGATCGAGTACAAACCGTACTATCCAAAATCGTACTTCTTTCTGCTTCTGAATTCTCACACTGTTCTTACTTTTATTCATTCTTCCCATTCATCCACATAGCACATAAACTATGCAGAAATGTAATTTATATATTCTATATTTTGAAACTATTTTAAAAAATGCCCATGGAATTTTGCAAATGAAGTACACAAGATTATAAGCGTGGTAGTATTTTCATTGCTATCCACAAACATTTGTTGTACTGTTATAATTAAGAGACTCCTGACTCCCCTCCCCCAAAGTATTTTATTTTATACTAGTAATATTTTTCAGATAGCAATGTAAAATTTATTTTGCTCAGATTCTCACATTAGCTTCATGAAAACTAAAAACTCCATCTCTATTTACAAAGAAGCATTTCAAGTTTCATGACACCTGTTTGTCTTTTTCTTTCATCTCTGGATTTTTCAATCTACTGCTAAAACTCTTACTATGCTTCCATTCCAATACAATGTAATTGTGATTAGGAATAATGGGGGATTGCCCATTTCTTTGTAAGACATCTAAACTAGCGTTGTTTGAGGGAAGACATATCAAAGCTAATTAAAACAAAGCTATCAGGTGCCAAAATTCCCCTTTACTTTGTGGAACAGCAAACAAATACAGCCTTTGTCGCACACAAAGTCAGTGAGGATCAACTATTATTGCAGAAGGATGAAACTCCACAAATCCAATGCTGCACAGCATGTGTGGCAAGATAAATTGTCTAATTGCTCTAGGGGTTGATGGCAACTGATGATGAAAGATGAATTAATTTCTTGGCATGATTAACATACAAAACAATTATCCTTAAAGGACATAAGCAGGTATCATAAGTGTAGCATGTAAATTATTTGTGATATCACAGTTTTTAATCCACAGGACAGCCCAGGAATCTGTGTACAAAATGTGGAAAATAACTTACATAAATGTTTCAGTTTTATTTACTAAAGTTCTTATATTAGTCACTTGGATGGACTGAAGGCATTTGAAACATGAAAATTAGCTACAGAGGTTGAAAATGTGTAATCTCCTAATATTGCTAAATATAATTCTTATTCATCCCAAAATGCCTGTGGAGATTCTCAGTCATCCAAGTCATGGTTGTCCCAAAGGTGCTTTTTCAAGGGACAACTGGACTTTCTGGTTTTTTTCTTTGAAGACATTTGCTTCTCATCCAAGAAGCTTCTTCAGCTCTTTAATTCTTATAAAAATTGAATAATAAGAATTCTGTCGTTCTTATTGCCCCTTAATGTTTACCATACTAACAAGGTGAATGGAAGAGAAAAGAGGCAGGTCCACACCCTCTACCTCTGATTTAATTGGCATTATTAGATTGTTAGAAATGTATTTAAGATTACTCAATATGCCTGATAAAAAAAATATAAAACAGCAAAGTTTTCTCTACCTGGCCATTGAGTGATACTGAAATTATTGGGGTCTCCTTTTGAACAGATCTGCAGGGTTTTATCTCTTTAAAATCAGTCTATCACCACCTGGCTAATGAAGTTTAATAAAGAAGATAATGGAAATCTTTTCACATTTATTTGAAATATTAGCTTTGTTAACATATTCATGCAAGGGGTGCATGTGTCTGTGGAAAGGAAGAATATATACTGCATAAATGGCATCCTTGGACTATTGAAAAAGTGACTCTACAACTTTGGTAAATCTGCAAATCATAACCAAAATCACATTTTCAAGTTCTTAGGGTAAAATAGCTTAACAGAACTTTAATTATTGGCATTATTTTGTGTTTATTAACACATTCTTTTAAAAAATCCTTCAGGTTCAAAATCTGTGATATTATCCTGTTTCCCTCTAACTTGCTTATTTATTTAAACCAATCACTTGTACAAGATTATGAGATCCCACATTCTTCTGCATTAATAAAATGGGAAGAAATATTTTTAAAACTGTTTTTCAAAATAGAAGACAATTCTAATGAAAGACTATAGGTGAATTGTTGGCATTTACCCAATTTTTGGCATTTACAAATGGGGGTGGAAGAGAATGAATTTCCTGCTTTTTATGCATAATCAATACTCTAGCAGTCCTCAGCTGTTTAGACAAATCCCATATGAAGACAATCCCAAGAAACTCCTTCCCTGTGCGGTTTTTTTATGCTCAGAGAGCTAGAGATGATATTGAGATTGCAGTATGTTGGCAATATGTTTAATAGAAAAATCCAAAAGTAAAGTGAAGTACATCAGCAAGGAGAATGAGACCGAAATATGGAAACATTTTTCAAAAGGAAAAAAACAATCTTGCCAATACTAAAAGATAAATTTTAACACACTATTAATATGGGGCTCTTGATGGGTTTATAACATCATCAGGAAGTGGTATTCTACGTGGAAGTAACTGATATGTTAATATTTGTGAGACAGCCAACTATATATTTGTGAGACAACTATATATTTGTGAGACATATATATTTGTGAGACAGCCAACTACAACTAAGTTGTAGAACCAGGTTATTTTAGTACACTCTTTTGGATGGTTATGTGAAATTGGAGAAACACTGCCTGAAGATCAAGACATTTGGAGCAGATTAGCAATGTCCTCCTCTTTTCCCAGGTTTTCCTACAGTTTTATTCTTTGCTTAATAATTAGTGACTTCTAGATTGTTGTCCCCCCCCCCCCCAGTTTGAAAATACTCCTCCTTAAATGTCACCTTTCTTAGTTGCTGGGAAGGAGGAGAGGAGGGAGAGAGGAGTTGAGAGAATACAGCCCCATGCAAGTATTGTTATTTTTCCTGTCATACTTGTTGGGGTACAGCTTTCATTTATTTTTCCTACAGCAAAGCAGGAAAACCAATCTGGAAAGAATAGAGCTCATATGTCATCAACAGCTCCTTGGCTGAAGTGCTTGGCACTGGCTTACCAATAACTTAAAGGCAAGAAGTGGGTGAGGCCCAACTGCAGCCAACAAGGAACTAGAAAGGGATACTTCAATCTGATTCAGCCTTTACCCACCTCACCCCCTCTTTCCCTTCCATTACTCTCCCCAGGGACTACTGACTATAATGTCACACAATTGGTTGCTTTCTAGATGCAAGTTTAGGAGGAACTGCCTGCTTTAGGACAATTCAATTGTGGGATATCTTGAGAGACCACCCTTGAGCCTAGCAGCCTCTCCCAAATTTCCCAAGTATTCTGCAGTATTTCCAGTAAACATCTAAATATTTTAACAAGTTCCATCAATTTAAACTTTGCCCCTGATAAGTTCAGATAAGAAAAAACATTACAGTCCCAACCATCTGCTTCTTTTGATGGGGATATTTTTTAAAGATGTGAAAAGTTTTTAAAAGTGGTATATTTGTCAGATGGAAATTCTTTGGAAGCATTAATTACTGTTATGTATTATGTGAATTAACCCTTGCAGTTTGCTAGTATTCACACTTCACTTTACTCTTATATTTGTTCCTTATTATTGTTAAGCTTTTCTAAAGAGCACATAACTTTCCTCATATTTCTAATGCCCTCAGTCTTCTGGAGGTCTCTTCAAAGATTTTTCAAATCTTGGCTTTGGTGCATTGGATGAAAATACCTTATAGCAGGTAAGCCTCAAAGAATATCTCTGCAGGTGTTTTTCTTCAAAAACTTGGCACTGTATCTTGTAATGTTGTTTTTTATTATTTTAGAATTTCAGCAAGGGGAACAGCTGTGAACAATAACTTTTCTTTTCACATTTAACAATGAAGATGAAGCAACTCATAAAATGTCACCCAAAAGATGCAAAGTTCATCTTTTATAAACAACAAACCATGGAAGTATTGCATGAACTTTGAGGTAAATTTATAGTCTTAATTCTAGAAACTACTTTCAGTGGTGGAAGTACCCCAAGACAAAGCAAGTAGACCCTTCTCTAGAATTCAGATATTTTTCTTTTGGTAAAATACCTGGGAATTTCAAACATAGGATCATTTAAAGTCTTAATTTAATCATTGGTTAAGAAAAAATCTTCTAGTGAATCATTGTATATCAAGGTTTCTTCCAAAATTTAAAGCAAATATCCATCTGTCCTTTGAGAAATAAAATATGAAGCCAATAACTTGAATTGGGTACCCTTTTATAACAGAAAGAAGAAAGAGCCAATCGCATTACCTAGAATATTTCCTAAGGAAATTTAATTGGAATGAGTAGATATTTTGGTGTAAGAAAAAGAGTAATTGTGTTTATTTCATAGTGGTGTATTTAGTGATGAAACAGATGAGTTGTTGATAAGTAAAATAGTCTATATTTTAATGTAATATATAGACATGTCAGTTTCCAAAGAGATGACTAATATGTGGATTCAAAATCTTACAAGTACTGTATGCAAAGACAGAATGGTATTTTCATTTTTGGACTATAAAAGGTTTACAGTAAATTATAAATAGAGTTGAAAAAATTTAATGTATTTATATAACAGGGTGCAGTGTTACCTTCTTTTTGTCTCCTTGCACATAGATATACATAAGGAAGCAATCCATTTCTGGTTCAAAATCGGGAGAGAAAAAAGAACAGTCAAAGATGGATTCATGGGAGCCATTCCAGAACTCCTCCCCTGACCTATTTCAGATGCTGATTTGGCAGCCCTGTCACAGGCCAACTTCTTTAAACTATTACTAAAGAGTTTCCAGTGACAAGCACAAAGGAGTACACTTTGTTCTCAAATAATGTGTAATTAAAACAATTTACTAGTACTGTGCTTTCAGCAACATTGTACAGAACAAGAAGAGTTTTTAAAATGATACCTCACATAAGCAACAATTTCTTTTTCTAAGCAAAGGAATGGTCCTAGAAGCTTAGCTAGTTATCTTCAGAGTCCATTTAAAGGCACTCTAACTCTGCAGTCTATCAAATAAAAACATGACTGGGAGTAAAGAGTATGGCTAATTTGTTTTACTTCCTTTGAGCATCGAGTAGAGTTATTAATTGATTGTGTGGTTGTTGCACGACCATAGCCACCATCTATATCAGGGTTTGTTCTCAGGGCTACAAGGCCAGTGGCATCAAAGACAACTCTGAATCATCTCCATTCTATTTTTAGGGGATTAGGACAAGAGCGCCCACTAAAGAAGTATCAAAAACATTTAAGTTCAGATGCCCCCATTGCCTACAAAAGAAAAGATAAAAGAATCGCCTCAATCTCCCCTGCTCTTTTATTTCAACCAAGTCAAAGAAAAGCATTTCAGTTTAGTCTCTGTAGGCAATTATAAAGCACCATTTAGAATGAACAGCATGAGGCTATTCTCTTTATTACCGTCAGTGAGATTATGCAAGTGCAAAACTGAGAAAAAGAGCGCAATTACCAAGGACAAAAATAGGAATCCAATGTGAATTCTTTATTAAATTATATGTCCTGTTCTGGAAAGTGGTATGTGTATGTGTGTGCGCACATATACAAGAGGTCTGCAAGTGAGTAAAGTAAGGCCCAAAATAGATGTGGTCAAAGCAAAAAGCGGGCATGCTCAGGCCACAGTTTGAAGCTACATCCACATTTAAACCAATGTACTGTACAATTGATTCTCTCTTCAGGAGTAACACTAAAACTGTAGCGAAGAAAGTTCCAAGGCCAAGGGAAAACTGCCTCATGAACCGGCCTTCATTTCATGGAAATGAATTACTAATGTTGCTAACTCACTCCATTGTTTCCAGCAATGCCCTCTCAAACTTCAGCAATAATTCAGCTATGAAATAAACAGGCCTGATCAGATAGCTGTGAAAATTAGATAAACTACACAATAGCTCAGAAGATATGAACATTTCATCAGGAGCCATATATCGGCTTCTTCCTGATGTTAATTCCATTCATTTTCCCTTTCTTAGCCCTTTAGACATTAATTTCAGGATTCAGGAAGAACATGAAATATGGACATTTATAACAGGACTCTTTTCTCCAATGCAGTAGATAGAGGTACAAATATGTTGACACAGACTTCTAGTTTAACTGCCAAAATATTAGAATGCTGCTACACTTTCTCATATTTGCTTTTCATATTGTGCCACAATTTACTTAACCATGGTATACTGCAATTAACTGGATTCAGAGCTAAACCCATATCTAACAAACCACATTATGGCTTAACATGCTGTAAATCCAGGAAATTTGTGAAAGAATATAGATCTCTTTGGACCAATAATCTTTAAAGAAGAGGAAAAATTACTCAGCCTTGAGAAAGTGAGAAAGGAACTCAAAATGATTCCATTTTGATTTTATTTGGTAGCTCAGAAAGAAACTCTTAATGAGCTATTCAGATTCTGTTATTCTTCCTTACAATAATAATCCATTGCTGACTTTACCTACTGTGAAGGGCTAACATAATTATAGTTTCTTCAACAAATTAAAGTTAAGTCTGATTTAGCACAGTAGTGGGATTCAATTTTTTTACTACCGGTTCTGTGGGGCGTGGCTTGGTGGGTGTGGCAGGGGAAGGGTACTGTAAAATCTCCAGTCAGAGGTAGAATTT